CAGGCTCCCGGGCTGTGCGCCATTAGAATGTGGTTCTAGCCGGAAAAGTAACTGTGGAATTCTTATAAATTCCATATTTATTACCAATAGTTTAATATCAGTTTAAGACTGAGTACTTATCTACCGCTTTACACCTTTAAAACTCTTTACAAACACAGCCTTACAATATCCCTTTAAAGCAGGAATGTGTCCGTCCCCTCTCCCTTATGTGTAGAACGGGGTGAGCTATTACTTGCCAAACATTGCATAGCAAGTGGCAGACCGAGGATTAGTATTAGAGAACTGGCTTCCCTGCTCAGTTACGCTGCTACTGTCAGGGCCAGCCCTAGACCAAATGGCGCCCCTGGCAAGGAGCATCTTTGGCATCCTCCCCCATTTGTTAAACTTTTAATTAACTTATTTTTTATTGCATATGTAGCAAGATTTATATCTGTCATATAAGATGATAAATTTGCATGCTAGGATCTGTGAATCCGTATTTACAGAAAGTCTCAAAGGTTCCACAAGATTCTACAAAGGTCCAGAACATTCTAGGAGGTTAGTGAAAAATGAATCCACATACAGAATACCTGAAACATCTTACTTTGGCAACATGGCTTGTGCAGTGTCCTTCGGACTGGTGGAGGGGATGTAAGTGGCAAAAAGAACACAGCTAGACTGAGCTAGTCTATAGAGCTGACAGTAAGAAAATGTTCTGCTTCAGATCCTTATCCTGTTCCTATTGAAACCAGTCGGAGTTTGCCATTAATTCCATTGGGAATAGAAATGGACCTTTGTCATCTGCCATCATTTCAGAAGCAATAAAATCTGAGCTAATAAAATACGTCAAAAACTCCAGCCCCCATCTTATGATTTAATCAATTCCTGTAGATCTATGGGCAGAATCCAGCCCTTAGGTTGACCATTTTGGTTGGGAAGTGAGGCAAAATGGAACCCAGTTTGCTCTCCTACTGCTCCATTGGCTCTGCTGTATTCACCTCGCTGTCGGAAAGGAAGCAGTTATGGCATGTACTTACAAAAGCAGCTGATCTGTTAAGATGCTGTTCTTACAATAATCTGACAGCAGCAATTGATCTGGCCCATGTTAATGAATATTGGATTTCCAAGTTTGTATTGGAGGAAAAAGGATATTTTAATGGCAAGGCCCAGTTGTTGGAGCTGATTATAATAAAGAGAGAGTGGGTGAAGGGAATGCCTTTTATTGGATCAACTTCCATTGGTCTCTCTCGTATCCTGGGACTAACATGGCTACAACACTATAGTCAAAATAGTACAAAAGCTCACCATAGATCAGATCTACTGCCAGTTATAGGATGGGGGGAAAAAATCTGACTCTGGCTTCCAAAAGTTTAAAGTACAATACAGAATGTACACAATTCTGAAATTGTATACTGCAGATACACTTGCACTAACAGTAAAACCAATCACAATGATGTACTGCCATCTTTTGCTTATGCAGTGCAATAGCAAGTTCTACTTACAGTAACCAGACTTACCAGGCCCAGTCTCTGCTTCCGTAACAAGGGTTAATTAGAAACTATTGGCACTGGAGCATTTAATCTGACCACTAACTTTCTAGACAGGCAAGCAGTTAAATATATGCCAACTCATCCCCATTTCTTTATTCAATTTTATAATCCTAGATACTAGTTGTCTGGGTTCATATTTGGACTTGTTCTGATCGCTTATGAACAGATTAGGGTATAAAACCATTGTTAGGTCTAATTTCTCGTTAAAATATTTTCTATTGTATAGTTTGAGTAATTACTCAGTTTCAGATGTTGCCCCAGGAAATGACACCTCATCACCATTGTAGATTCGTAGATTCCAAGGCCAGAAGGACCATTTTGATCATCCAGTCTGACCGCCTGTACACTACAGGCCATAGAACTTCCTCCACGTAATTCTGAGATCATACCTTTTAGAGAAACATCCAATCTTAATTTTAAAAAATTCAGTGATGGAGAATCCACCATGACCCTTGGTAAATTCTCCCAGGGATTAATTACTCACCATTTAGTAATTTACATCTTATTTCCAATCTGAATTTATCTAGCTTCAACTTCAAACCATTGGATGGTGTTACTACTTTCTCCATTAGAGTGAAGAGCCCATTATTAACTGTTTGTTCCTATGTAGCTACTGATAAACTGTAATAAAGTCATTCCTTAACCTTCTCTTTGTTAAACTAAACAGATTAAGCTCTTTGAGTTTCTCTAAAGCATGTTTTCTAATCCTTTAATCATTTTCATGGCTCTTTGCTGAACCCTCTCCAAGTTATCAACATCCTACTTGAATTATTATATACAGTAGAAATTGGACATTAGTTTTCCAGCAATCATTCCACTAGTGCTGGACAAGTAACATAACATCTCTACCACTACTCAAGATTCCCCTGTTTATGCATCCCAGGATCTCATTTGCTCTTTTAGCTGCAGTGTCATAGTAGAAGCTCATGTTGAGTTGATTAGCCTCTTCCACCCCCAAATGTTTCTCAGCCACTGCTTCCCAGGATAGTCCCTCATCCTGTAAGTATGGCCTACGTTCTTTGTTCCTAGATGTGTATGTTTACATTTAGTGGTATTAACCATTTTGTTTGCTTGCTCCTATTTTACCAACTGATTTAGATTATCTGAATCAGTGACCTGTCTCCTTCATTATTTACTGTTCCTCCAACTTGTGACCACTGCAGACTTTCAGTGATTACTTTCTTCCAGGTCACTGATAAAAATGTTTTAGTGTAAGGTCAAAACCAGATTCCTACAGGAAACACAGCCACTCAATGAGTATTTTCCATTTCCATTTCGAGACATTTTGAGCAAGTAGCCAGTTAATCCTTTTAATGTGTGCTATGTTAATTTTATATTCTAGTTTTTTAATCCAAATATGATATGGTACCAAGTCAAATGTCTTGCAGAAGTCACCATAAGCCCATGTTTTGCATTAATTATATTGATTCTTTATTAATCAAGCCCCCTATAAACCACTCCATTATATTGCCTGGGATCGATTGTCAGGTTGACAGCCCTATACTTACCCAGGTCATCCTGTTTTAGCCTTTTGAAATATTGGCACAAGATTAGCTTTCTTCGGAACTTCCCCAGTGTGTCAAGACTTATTGAAAATCAGCATCAACAGCATCCAGCAACTTCCTCAGCCAGTTTTTTAAACTTAGATGCAATTTATCTGGACTTTTTTAAAATATAAATTTTAATAGCTTGTCTCACACTGTTCAGAGATTCTAGTGGAATGGAAAGAATTATCTTCACCATATGATGAAGCTATATACTTTTTCCCCCCCAAATACAGAACAGAGTTATTGAATACATCTGCTTTTTCTGTATTATTGATGAGTCTACCATTTCCATAAAGTAATGGACCAATACCACTGTCAGGATTTTTTGTTCCTAATGTATGTTAAACAAAAAAACCCACCTCTTTTCCTCAGTTCTGCTGGCCATAGATTTCTCCCTGTCTTTTGACTTCCCCTATTTTCTACAATTCCTAACTTCTGATTTATATTCACTATCAACTTCCCCTCTTTCATTTTGTTGTTTTTAAATTGTTTGTTTGCATTCACTTTGCCTCTAAACCAGGTGGTTTTTTTTAACCAGTATGACATTTGTGGAATTGTGGCTTTTTTGAGCATCTAGTAAGTTCTTAGATAATTGAGAATTCTCATTCACTTTTTATTTAAAATTCCTCCTAGTTCATTTGGCTCATAATTAAGTTTTGTGAAATTGGCCCTATTAAAGCAGAGTGTGTGTGTGAATTACTGGTCTGGACTCTAGTCTGCTTGCATGACCAAGTCATGATCACTTGTACCAAAGCTATGGTTCATTTCTAGTTGGGTGATCAGTTCCTCTTATATGTCTTAGAACAAGGTCTACTACAGAATTCCCTCATGTTGTCTACAACACTTCTTGAGTTAGGAAGTTGTCATCTATGTTTACAAATTCCAAGGATGTCTTTAGTACTGGCAGCATGAGACCTCCACCATAAGTCACTTCATTTGAAGTCCCCTCTTGTGATCATTCATGTTACAGATAGGTGTGTAAGGAGGCAGTCATCCTTTCTGAACTATGATTTGGTGGTCCGTAGCAGACACTAATACCACATCTTGAGCTTTATCTCTTAGGACATTCATCCTTAACCTTGGAAGAAAGTGGTTTTGAATGCTTGTCAGTGACTTGGAAACAGCTAATGCCATTTTTGACAGAGTGCTGCTTCTCCTCCCGTTTTGCCCACTCAATCCTGCCTAAAATAAGATACAACCATTGATTTTTTTTTTAAAACATTCAGTGGTACCAGTAATCCTCCCCAGGTTCAGTAATAGCAATGCAATCCAAATTATACTTAAAGATCAGCAATTCTCTTGTTTGTTACCTACGCTCCCAGCAATTCAGTAATTTCTTTCCATGTCCCTTGGGTCATTCATCACTTTTGTTCTCAACTCATGTCATCAGTTACCCATTTTGGGCAGATTTACACTCCCATGCTGGAGAAAAGGAACTGGGCATGGCCCAGGATGTGGGCTACCTCTTGCAAGGGGTATTGCATGGCCTCTCCGAAATATAGGAGCTATAACAGCTAGGTGATATTAATAAGCCACATGAAAATAAAAAGGATACCAGAGGTGCTGCAGGGAGGTACAAAATACAGCCTTCTGTAACCATATAACTGTCCGAGCTTCCAAATACACACTCCCCCACACCCTTAAATTAAGATGTAATTGGAAATATCTGTGCTCTGGGCATATGAGTCTCAGACATCCAAAAATCACTTGATTTAAAACCATGTTTAGATTCTCCTGCACAACTTGAACTCTCATCCATATCATAGGTTCCATCACCAAAATGTTACTCAAAGTTTCACATCTTATAAAGAAACATGCAACAAAAGCAAAGATTGGAATTGGGGAGCCTCCCCTTTCTGAGAATCTGGGCCTTAAGCCTTCCTCATGCCAAGTATTTCCCAGATGTGACATGTGAAAACAAGCATTCAGATATTTTCATGTTTATTATTTCAAAGTACACTATATACATAATGTATAGTCATGTCTTGAAAAACTTCATTTTATACAGAAATGTATCTACAAAATTAACAATCAAATCAATAGTCAAAGTATCTTTGTCAATACACATATGTACATATTGGAAGATTGAACATCATTATCACCATCAACAGAGAATGGGTAAGTAAATAAAACCCTTGGGGGGAAATCTAATAACTAGATCATTTTGTATCAACTGAAAATTCTTTATTTGGCAACATTTTCAGCTATCTTTTCGATGGGCATGAAAAGGTTGATTTCTTACGCCACCTACTGTTACTAATAGTTAATAGCACAGTCATGTGTCAAGTTTTTAAAAAAAAGTCAAAAGTATTGGCTGCTATTGACAGTTTATGGAGACACCTGTACAGCTGAACTGCCTTGCTGCTCCTAAAGTAAGTAGTGGGTATAAAGTTTTAGATAACACAGCAATTCTACTGCTGTACCGAACCAGTTTCAAAAGTTACTTTTTTCAGCATGTTGCCAGCAACGAGCAAAGATCAGTAAGCAACTGCAGAGCAGAAAATATTTTGGGAAAATAAACCATATCCCATTGTTTTCTAGAAAAGTCTGTTCACAAAAAAAACCTTGCATACACTTAAGTGGATTTAAAAGGGAAAGGACAACTGATGTCTGGCATACAGGGTGCCATTCAGATACATGGGCCTGACTTCCTAATCTGGAATAGGATTTTCCATGGTGTGGAAAGACCACCACAGCTAGGCCGCCAGAAGCAATTTTCTTTAGGACCTGAAACCACAATCCACCTGGATGGTGGGATGTGTTACCAAAAAAAAAAATTGCAAATTCTCCTTCAGCCCATACGTGCAACTGGCAAAAGGTTTAGATAAGTATTTTCAGAAGAAACTTGAGGCAGCTAACTACCTAGTACCACTAAATTTCACTGGACAGTGGGCACCTAATAGCCTGTCTCTCCTTCTGAAAACACTAGCCTACTATACTTCCTAGAATTCAACATACTGAATTTATTTTAAAAAAAAATCCCTCCTTCCATCTTTGAGAGCCTGGCCGATACTTATCACTGCAGCAGCCAGCACAAAGCTGATGCAACACTCCAGTTCCCCAAACAAGGATCAACTGGATACAATTGTTGCACAGGCCTTGTGCTGATTCCATAGAGGGCTGGATTTCACTTTGATTTAAAGCTATTCCCCTCGAGAAGAGGCTGTTAACAAAAATGTTTTACCTCCACCAAAGAAATCATTCCAATCCTTGCAGTATACCATGAAAACACTAGCATAGGAGTCAGACAAGAATATTCATGAGGAAAATACAAGCTTCTCTTAATTTGCAGCATCATCTTCTATATGAGAAAACTGACATCTGTACAGTCAAGCAAAACTACTAACAAATTATTCCTACAACAATCTGCATCATGTCAAAAGTATGATGGCAAAGACGTGTATAGGCACCAACGTAAATACTGGAGTGCCATTTCTGGCTGTGGCAGGGACTTTAAAGAAAAAGCCTATACAAAACATCTGACTAGAATATAATGAACACTAGGATGTCATGGCCACTACATATACAATTTATACAACCAAGGGAAAAAACCCTGTGAATGTGAGTGTTTAACACAGAGGAAGCAGCACCTTTCAGCAAGACAAGAGGATAACAGCGTGCTCTAAAATCATTTAAGAGCTGGAATGACACAATGCCATAAAGCAGTAAGAATTTCCACAATATCATTGCACTTATCCCATCTGCATCACATTTCTTTACTACGTTCACATTAAACAGCTGCAGAACACCACACTAAAAGGTTACATTAATATTAAATACTCCAGAAAATAGCAAGATTGGTTTCAGATTAAACAGTGGAAACATTCAGTTTATTTTTTTCAAAGCATGAAAACAGATCTGGTACATGTAGGTATGAGAACTTTGTTGTTTGGAGATGTGACCGTTGTTCCTGAAAACTTTGTTCTGCCGTGGGGTCTAATTCAGTCAGACACACTTACTAGTCCACTGACTTCAAGAGGGGCCAGAATTTCACTCGCTGGCACAATGCCCATTGAAATCAATGGAACTAGGATTTTCTCCTTCAGAGGTTAACAAAGTTTCCTACTCACTTAATGAAGGAGAGGTAAGCCTGATCCAGGCTGGCTAAGCTTTCCATCACTGGCCTCATTTGTTCTTAGATCTTGAAAAAAAAGTATTTAAAAAAAAACAAAACTAAGGTTGAGAGCCACAGTTGGGGCACATTTTCCCCAACTCCAAGTTTTGAATCAATAGTTTTTACCTTCTTCCAAATAAATGCTCAAAAAAAAAAGTAAAGATGACAGTTATTCAGGACTCATAAGGAACTCTAAGCAGACCAGGCCTTGATCCTACAAACACTTACATACCTTGCTTAACTTTACATGTAGGAATAAATCTCACTGAATCAGAATTCTCATAGACCAAGTTAAGCACTCATGGATAAAACTTTCAGAAGGATTAAAGTGATTTAAGGGCTTTTGACAATACATAGGCACCTACATAACTTAGATCCCTTGGTAACTTTTACCCTGTGTTTACAGATTACAGCTTGGTTTGCACATGAAGTAAGGGGGTAGGAGGTGAGGAGGTATAGAAACATTTAAAAGATTAATAGACAACACTGCAATAAAGTTTTTAAGTGGCCTTTCAAATTAAAACGGGTAATATTAAATTGTGGAGTGTACATGTGCACTAAATACTTTTCATGAGAATAGGAAGTGCAAATATTTAATAAATACAGTATAAACCCTAAATATATTTACAAGATGAACTGGTCTGACTCAGGCATTTTAGTTACATGGGCACTAATTCAACAAAATACGCATTTACTGTAGGAGTGGAACCATTCCAGTCCATCTGTTACCTTTTTCTAATATTACACTGTAGAAAATACTGTGACTCAGCCTCGAGGTGACACCATTCTTGTTACTTCCCCATCACTTTGAATGAAGGGTGGAGATATCACCTGACATTTCAAATGATGGTCACAGTTAAGTCATTTTGACAGACTAATTCACATTAGTAAAGTGGAGTGTGATGTTTGTTCAGCTTCTACAGTTCCACCAATAAATTTCAATTCACCGTTTAAATATACCTTACGGTCAGTTTTACTAGCTGGGCTATACTTACAATTAAGATGACTAAACATAATGGGGGGAGGGTTTTGTTTTTTTAACAGATTGGAATGTCTTGGAATAAGGGAGTATGTATATAAATAATGGACAACTTAACTCACACACGTTAAAAGTTGTGTTAATTTATATTGAAAATCAAACTTATTTTACAAAATCTACCTGAGTTCAAAGTTATTCAGATTCATATGTCCAGAGATGTGGATTTTATGAAAGACTTGGTGAGCTGATACAGTCTGATATAGCTGAAAATGCCTAGTATCAGCAGCAGAAGTTTCTCATTCTAATTTCTTGCTAGTTTACCTACCCCCCACAAAAGTCAATTCATATTCAGTTTCTAGGTAAGCCATGATGTAAAATATGCATCATGTCCTTAATTATTTTTACAAAAGTTAATTATAAAGCCCCTTTCCCATGCATATGTTAATTGCTTGATCAACTTAAATATATCAAACACTTAGAGTAGGGAAGAAGATTCTGAAAGCCCTGGAAGCTCAGTAGCACTGGATATGTTCCACAGCAAATCAATTTTTCTCCCCTGCAAGCTTTATCATTAGCAGGCTGCTTAATTGCACAGTGCAGAAATTAAAATCTCACTGAAATGTACTCTACATGTAGTGCACACCGCAAAGCATCTGGATGCCTTAATTTCAAAGAAGAGTTCTAAGAACGTAGCCTACAGAGAAGTTCATCAATGGCTGAGGCAAAACACCCTTCACACCTGATCTTAGAGAGCCTCTCCCGTCTAGAAGGACAATTTGTGTGGTTAAAGGTCTGCAGGATTAGGCCCTGCCATTGGTTGACACTCGGTTTACAGGAGAAACTTCAAAATGACAGTCTGCAGCACCTGTTTCTTTGTTCTGACTGTTCCATAGTTTGTTACACTTGCTTCATCCTCCGTTCCAGTTCATGCTGGTGCTTAATAAGCCGTTCTATTTCTGTTCCTAGTGTCTGCAGATTTTCCTTTGAACAAAGAGAAGGGAACAATAAGAGGAAAACATCAGTAGATGCACCATACAATACTGAATTTAAATTACCACTTGCCATCAATATGAGTGGATTGCTACCTGAAAATAGCATGCTTACTTGGCAGTGAAAAGGCGGGGGAGCAACCCTTCTCTCCCCACATTAATAGTGAATGTGATGCTCTAAAGGACAGTATCTTTCTTATAGATTTTAGGATTCTATTGAGCATGCTGAAAAGGTATACTGCTTCAGTTCAAAACTAATCAATATATAAAGATAGACATGGAATCAGAGAGCAGCTTATACAGTAACTCCTCACTTAACGTTGTAGTAAAAAAATGCAAAAGTTCCTGAAAAATGCAACCTTAAGCAAACGATGTTAAGCAAATCCAATTTCCCCATAAGAATTAATATAAATTGGGGGGGGGGGAGGGGGGTTTACATTAGGTTCCAGGGAAATTTTTTTCACCAGACAAAAGACTATTAAGTTTTAAACAAAATTTAATACTGTACACAGCAATGACTGTGAAGCTTGATTGAGGTGGTGAAGTCAGAGGGTGGGATATTTCCCAGGGAATGCCTTACTGCTAAATAATGAACTAGCACTCAGTTGAGCCCTCAAGGGTTAACACGTTGTTAATGTAGCCTCACGCTCTACAAGGCAGCACAAATGGAGGGAGGGGAGACAGCATGGCAGACAGAGAGATGTGCATTGCCCCTTTAAGTATGCTGTCCACACTTTAAGTACATTGCCCTTTTAAGTAGATCAGCAAGTTGAGACAACTGCTGCTGCCAGCAAGCCTCCCTCCATTCTGAGCCTTGTCATGTCCACCCACCTGCTCTATGGAGATGGGGTAAGTGGAGTGCAGGGGAACACCCTGACATTAGCCCCCTCTTTTCCACCCCCCTTGTATAGCAAGCAGGAGGCTCCGAGGGGCAGGAGCAGCACATGGCAGTCAGGGGGAGAGACTAGGGTGACCAGACAGCAAGTTTGAAAAATCAGGACGGGACGGTGGGTAATAGGAGCCTATATAAGAAAAGACCCAAAAATCGGGACTGTCCCTATAAAGTCAGGACATCTGGTCACCCTAGGAGGGACAGCTGAACTGCCGACAACTGATAGCCTGCTGGGCGGCTGCCACACAGGGAACTTAAGGGAGCTGATAGGGGGGCTGCCAGTCCACCCTGGTTCCAAGCCCCCACCAGTTTGCTGCAACGGGCTGCTCTTTCTGCAAGCAGTGGACAAAGCAGGTGGCTGCCAAACAACGTTATAAGGGACCACTGCACAACTTTAAAAGAGCATGTTTCCTAATTGATCAGCAACGTAACAATGTTAACTAGGATGACTTTAAGTGCTTGCATATTTATACCTGCCTCTGGAAATTTCCACTACATGCATCTGACGAAGTGGATATTCACCCACAAAAGCTTATGCTCCAATACGTCTGTTAGTCTATAAGGTGCCACAGGACTCTTTGCTGCTTTTACAGATCCAGACTAACACGGCTACCCCTCTGATACTTTAAGTGAGGAATTACAGTAGATAGATTCCTTACTAACTGTTAATCATGAGCCTAGTGGTAGAAGAATCATCCCCATTTTAAGAAATACACACACACAAAATTCCAACCTGTACAGAAATCAGAACGTGTGTCTTTTGAGCATATTTTTGCTCTCTCTCACTGTCAATGTTCCAAGACAAACCATGATGATGATCTCTAGAGAGACCTCTTCTTTGGTAGTTGTGTGTTCAGGGCAGTATTTATTTGAGAAGAGCAAAAAAAATTTGACTCATAGAATGAAAGGCTACCATAGGTACTCACTTTAAGTGTAATATTCTTTAATAAAGTATCCTCTAGCACAGCCTGTAGCTTCCTGTTTATCTCCAGAGAGAGTTCTAATGTGAGCCCACTGTCTGCGGGATGCGATGTATACAGGGATGCCATGATGCCACCGCGCCTGCTCAAATGGACTTTGTTAAAGTCCGAGGCTTCTGAGGACAGTGTGCCAGCTTCTTCCCGCAAAATGTAACTCTGAATAATTCTGGAAAAAAGAGAAATCCAAGTGAAACTTCAGGTGTTGAGTTATGGTTCAGGATTCTTTGCGGGAGGTATATATACTATATTCGGGTTACAACAAAACAGATCTTCACATGCATGATGTCAAGAGCAAAAACCTGATACAAAAGCTCCAAGGCTTAGAGGGGTGTATTCAGACGGGGAGATGGCTGAAGCCATTTCTTGCCACACACAGATTCATCTCCTTTTTCACATATTAACAGCAATCACCACCCAAAATAGGATTTCACCCTTGGTCTCTCCTTCTGGGTGGACCCTGGAAATCTTTAACTCTCATTTAAGTCAAAAGCAAAGCTTTTACTGACTTCAGTGGGGTTGGGATTTCACCCCAAAAATACACTTAGTGACAAAAACCAACCCTGGTACTGAAGGCCACCGCTTTAGCAAAGGACTAAGCTCCTTAGGGAAGGGACCATCTTTGTTTTTTATATTTGTACAGCACCTAGCACAATGAGGTCCCGGTCCATGAGTGGGACATCCAGATGCTAGAGAAAAGCAAATAAATAATAAAAGGGTGTGAATTGCAACTGTAACAGTTCTTGGAGACAGAACCTTATGATGTAGTCTGACTAGAATCCAAAGCATTTCCAGAAAAAATGTCAGTTTTGTTAGCAGAAATATTCAAGGGTGGGATTTTGCAAAGCATCTGAGTGACTCAAAAGTACAAGTCACAGATCCCAAAAAGTTGCAAGCCTGTGTAAATTTAATTCAACCCCTTCTGCATTATAATGTAGTCTTTAATTACATGATCACATACGACTTTCTTCTATAGTCCCCTGCCTCATTGCGTGCACAGGGTGGATGTTCTGGAGATGAATAAGAATTGTGTAATTAAGGAGACCCCTGTCATCTGGTGAAGTTGGAAGGTGAGCAGTGAATGAGGCAAGGGATGACAGGAAGATAAAGAATGGTGTCATAGGTAAGGCAGCTGGATGCTATCCCTGGATAACTGGATTCTATCCCTACCTCTGCCACAGAGTTCTTTTGTGATGGTGGGCAAATCACTTAATCACACTTTTCACAGACCATTACTAACTGTGTGATCCTTATTTCCTGGATGCTTTATGTGAGACCTTTGAATTTGATTTGCAGAAATGTTGAGCACTCACTGCTGCAACTGAAGTCACTAGTAGCTGTGCTTTGAATGTACAAAGTGCTGTATAATGCTAAGTACTCAAACACTAGGGTCTGATTTTTCAAATTGGACACTAAGACTGGTAGACACTTTCAACCTTACTCTGTGCCTCAATTTCCATCTGTAAAAGGGGGATAATATCCCTTCTCCTCACAGGGATATTGTAAAAATACACTTATTGAGGTTTATGAAGTATTCAGCTACTGCTGAGATGAACCCCATAGAAAAGCTCATGAGGAAAACTAACAATTCTGTCCTCAGAGCAGGGTTTAAATAGGGTACAGTAAATAAGGCCTCGGGGCACTCACTGAACAGAGAGGATAAAGCAAAATACCGAGTAGCTGCTTATTGGGTGAGCACTGTCCATCGTGCACAGAATGAATCTGCACTCATTCAATTTACATGAAAGACAGTAATTCCTGAGAGTTAGAAAATTGCATTAGGTTTCTGAAAGTTTTTTTTTTTTTTTTCTAATTAGTCACTTTTAAATCATGCTGCTTTTCAGAACAGCCTGTGTTTTCATACACGAGACACCAAACACATTACTTGTTTTTAGTATGTTTTTGAAGTGCCAAAGTTAGCAGTAGTTGTTTGGCTTTGTTACAGTCTGAATGAGACAGCTTGTTGAGCATTTCTGTTGTAGTAGCTCCTAAGGAACCCAGTGAGGGATCAAGGCCCTGTGTTACAAGGCACTCTACTGGCACTACAGAGGGTCCCTACCCCAGGGAGCTCACGATCTTTTATGAGAGACCGTCTCATGAGATGGCATCACCATAAGAGAGGACTGCATGTGGTAATGGTTAGATTTAATACAAACAACATTCCTTCAAAACAGAGTATACTCCAACTTCTTCCTTATGACCCCCAGCAATACTGAACGAGCAGACCTTAGACAGGAACCTAGCCAGTAGGCTAAATGACAGGAAATCCCATAGCCTGCACAGCATGGAGAAGAGAAATCTTATATCGTATACTAAAGATGGACAGGCTTTGGCTCAGATATTTTATTACAGTAGGCATCGATCATCATTTATTATTTGTATTATAGTTGCACCTAAAGGCTCCCATCAGGAATTATACTAGACTCTGTATCAACAGAGGACCTCTCAGCATAGAAACGATGCATCACAAAACAACATTTTTTTGAGAGAGAGAAGAACTTGACTCTATACCAATGTCACACCTCAAACAGCCAGAGGGAGTCGCTGTTAAAGCGGAGGCACTGTTGACAGGGTGAGAACCTGCAGCACTGACAGCTCCTGACAAGTTCAAGGAGCAAAGGGGACTAAGCCACAGATCCAGGGCCTTCCACTTGGTGCTGCATAGTCTCGTAACTGTTCACAGAAAATAAGGTGAACATTAAAATCTGAGGTCTGCTGTGGTTGCAGATGTTTTATCATTTAACATTTTTCTATCTCAAGTTAACATTGTGTGTGTTATGTAAGAGAGAGTGTTCCAGTGCAGGACAGTCATTGAGAGCCAACACTATGTGATCCAAATATCATACATACTTGGTTTTTTTCCGGATTTCCTCCACCAGTTGCTTAATGTGATCCTCCATGAACTCCATCTTTTCATTTTTCCGAGCATGAGCCTTCTGTAGTCTTACTATTCTCTCAATCAGGACAGCCTTGTCCACTTCTGGGAAGCTATCAGCAGCTCCTGAAGATCCAGTATTCTCAGGCGAGCGATCTTCGTTGCTGCTTCGTGCGTTAAGGGACCCTACCAAACAGTGACGTTGTTTAGAACTGTGTATGTTATAATGAAGTACTTCTTGCCAAGTAAGCCAGTCCATCTCATCACAAAATCAATAGCTCCAGACTGTGCCCAAATATTTTCTTCATAAAATATTGATCTCATTTAGCTACTCCTGGAGTAGCTGCATGTAACTACAGTACCATTTTCACTATATAGGTTCAGACAATGGTAAACACAGCTATCGCGGAATAAAGGTGCTTCCATCAGTATATAGCCTATTTCTGTACAAGAACCTTTATACTGATAAAACTGCCCACGCTAGAGAGTTGGATCAACTTAATTGTATTATGTTCTACACGGATATAGTTAAACCTTTACCAAAAAACTACAGCTAGACCAGTGAAACTATTAAATACAAGAGTGCTGCAGGGTTGATGGCAGGAGAAGGACCGAGCAGCTCTGGAAGCAACTTTAAAAGTGACGGGGATGGAGAGGGATTACGAAGAGAAAAGAAAGGGCTACATATCTCAAACACAACCTTATGGACTAAAGGTGCATCAACTTTGATATAAATTAACCTAATTTAAAATTATGTGATATCGATCAGGTAAATAAATGCCAATGATACAGCAGAAAAAAAAACATTTTTCTTCATGGTAGAACAATAAAGGAATAAATTTGACAAGCACACTGATGCCTGTAAATATGCCCATTGATTTACCCGTTACACAGTGCCAACTGTCAATTAGTGCAATTTAATTAAACAATAATGGAGACAACTACTGATTTTTGCTTTGCCTTTGGCTACATTTAAGTGTCATCTAAGGTACCTCTGAACATAAAAGCAGCAAGTTCAAAAAGATAGGAGTAAAAAAAGCTAGACTGTCTATAATAAGAACACGTGGCTACAATTATATTAACAAGTGCCATTATTAGGCCTGAGACCCCTATATCTATAGTAAGTTCCTGAACCTCAATGAATTCCCCAGACTTTGCAACATGAAAAAGATATTCCTTTTACTCGGTTATACATAAATTGATTCTCAGTTAAGGATTACTGGGCAAACACTGCAGTTATCAGGTCTATGTATCTCAAAACTAAAAAAGAAAAGGGGGATAGCAAACTAAAACAGACTCCAGGACTTTCGCTACCAAGACTGACGATATTCCATAAGTCTTGGTGTTCTACAGGAGAAAGTTTTGTTGAAGTGTTAACAAAAGCATTGCTCAGAAGTACATAACCTACAGAAATAACTATTTAAAACACAAACACCCTAAATCTGTGGCAGTAAAATAGGTTTGAGTTATTAAAACTGAACAGTAAAGGCAGAACTGTTATTTGTTACGTTACCTGATGAGCTGGAACGACTCCCCATACTGCTAACTTCCTTATCACAGCCGCCATTTTCAATCTGATCCAATTTCCTTCGTGCTAACAAGAAAACATGAGGAGGGTTACCAAAATGTGAAAAAAAAATCCTAAGAAAATGGAACCCGCACATACACACCACCCCAATCCACCAGGAACTGAGACAATTTTCTTTAATTGCCAAATCATACATGTGAGAATACTACAGACGAACAAACCATGTGAACATCACTAAGTGCTTGGTCTAATGCCCACTGAAATCCATGGGCTTTGGATCAGTCCTCAAGTGAAGAGGTAACTCCATGCACTGGGTTGTCTTGAGACTACTATTTAAGCCATGCTTTATTATTGATATGGCATGCTATTTAAATAGCTAATGAATGACATAACACAGCCCTGCTCTGTGGAAATCAGTTATTCCGTGACTGCTATCACTACAGTGGCTGTGCCCAGATGTTGAATAGTGCTGGGAGAAGAAGTATGAGCACATGTGTTCATACCTGTATAAGAAGGTAAACAGAACTTCCTCTCCCAATATATGAATAGTACATAAGAGTTATGTTTTCACATAAATTCCAAACACCTCATTAAGCCAAACTGCACTCTAAATTCAGAGCACATGCACTTTTGAATTATTAATGTTAACTTCCTGAAAGTACAAAATTAATAATCAGTCTCTGTATGAATATATATATATTTAAACAGATGAAGCACTTCCTTAAAATTAAATTACAAATGCCACCAACAATAATTCTGGCTACAGTTGGCATTTAGAAAGCTTCTGATGTGTCTTGAATAGCCTTCTGTGTACCATGGATGAAGTCTCAATTGTCCCATGCCATTTGATTCATAGAATATCCTTTTAGCTGAATACCAAGAATGTGTAGATCCCTTCCAGTACTTCTATTTTAATCAAGTCAGCATTTGAAAATCACACACGTAACATGCAAGCAATTTCCTGCCTATGAGATTCGATCTCCGATTTGATAAAAAGAAGGCCTGCAAGGATTGCACCCTAACAGAATATATGGATGCAGGCAGGAATCCTTCTCTAGCTGCGTATGCAGGGCGTGAGGAGGAGTATGTTAGTACACTCTAGTGCAGGGGTTCTCAATCTTTTTCTTTCTGAGCTCCCCCACCCCAACATGCTATACGAACTCTACGGCCCACCTGTGCCACAACAACTAGTTTTCTGCATATAAAAGCCAGGGCTGGCATTCAGAGGTAGCAAGCAAGACAATTGCCTGGGGTCGCACGCCACAGGGGGCCCTGCGAAGCTAAGTTGCTCAGGCTTTGTCTTCAGACCCGGGTGGCAGGGCTCAGGGTCCTGGGCTCCAGCCCCATAAAGTGGTGTTTCGGCTTTCTGCCCTGGGCTCCAGCGAGTCTAACACTGGCCCTGGTTGGTGGACCCCTGAAACCTTCTTGTGGTCCCTCCAAGGGGCCCCCAGACACCTGGTTGAGAACAACTACTCTAGTAGACACAAGACTAATTCGGGGGGGGAGAGGGGAGTTTTCACCTTGCTGAAGTTGCTTGGTGAGGTCTTTAAGATTTGCCACATGTTTACGCTTTTGAGTAACCAACTCGTCTTTTAATTCATCTACTTGGGTGTTCAGTGCTGTTAGTTCTTTCTGTTGAGAAGCCAAGTCTGTCTGCAGTGTCTGGACTTCATGTTTATGTAGCTCTTCCTCCTTTTGCAGTTTGTTTGCCTGAATTTACAATAAAAAAACCATCTAAAATCACTAGGCATAACCATCTGCTTAACGTCAACATCACCACCACTTTGCACCTGCCCTTCATCTGAGAATTTCACATCATTTTATGAACCATTAATTAAGCCAAATACCACCAGTGTGGGATAGCCCAAGGCAGTAAACAGGGTGTACTACTTATTCCAGAATTTAGCACAGTACAGAATAAGATTTAAACTCTAAAAATAATCCAGTTTGTAACTTTTCAAAATATATCTGCACACAGTAAAATAGAACCATGATGAGGCTATTAGTAATAATTTTTATTATAGCCACAAAATTATTCTTACAACTGATGGGAGCATACAGATACAAGCACAAAGGCTGCTCCAGGTTGATTTTAAAAAGTCATTTTACGAAAGGACCTCCAGTTGTGGCACACTTGATACACAAAATCAAGCTACAATCCTGCAAATGCCTACACTAAAAGTGAGTAGTCCTATTGAAGTCAGAGTGGGCCTATTTAAATTACACTGTTAAATATTACAGGAGTACCTCTGGACAATGGGAGCAGCCTAAAATAATTCTAGTCTCCTATATAACAAACCAGTTCTTTAAACATGAATGGTTTGCAGAGTCAGTTTCACATCTGAGTTAAATCCTGATGGGTATAAAACTGAATTAAGGCAGTCCTGGGCCCTAGGCATGCCATGACATTGGCCTCCTGCTATGACTCCACCCCCACTGCCCTAATTCTGTGCTGAGATCCCATCCTTCATCTACCTAAATGACGGAGCCTGAAGTCAACTCTTGCCTCCTAGAGAGACAGGAGAAGCAACAGGGTCCCTCTCCCAGAGCACTGGATCTTCCATTGACACATATAGGGCAGTTCACACGTCAAAGCTATGGTTCTATGGAGTCTACAGGCTCAGGAAGAAGTTTTTGGTTACATTCAGATCACATTTCCAAGCTTTTATTCACAACTGCAAGGGCTAGCAACTAACTTTTTAAATGAAAGCTGAAATTCTGCACTCAAGATGACACTCCACGAGCTGGAGCCTTGGCACAGACCTTAGAGCCTTTGCATTAATCCAGCCCTGATCAGATAACCTATTAGTACAAAATCCATCTGCATGTTGTACTCACCAGATCATCTTTAGTCTGTCTCACATGTTCCAGCTGACTCTGTAACTCTCTTTCACTGTAGGTAAGCTTATCGAGCTGGGTCTGTAAGAAGTTGGTTTCAGACTGCAGCTGTGCATTCTTACTCGTTAGCTTTTCAGTGAATACAAGCAGCTCAGATTCTCTTTTCCGACTGCCTTCAATGTCCTTTTGGAGATCAGTAATCAGAGAGTTCAGACTGTCCAGTTCTTCCTTCAAGGTGTCGATTTCTTGTTCATCTCTACCAAAACAAATGTATTTAACCTCAAGTCACCCCTAAAACATATATCAAATGTGAAAATACTAAATATTTATCACAGATACGAAATAGCTTTCAAACTTCAAGCCATTTCATATCTGTAACAACATCTGAAAGATATTTCTTACCTCCAAGCTGTTAGTGATCCCAATCATATTACTGCTGAGGGAATTCTGTGCCCCTGCACGTGCACAGAATTCACGTCCCGCACAAATTGCTTTGCTTCCCTGCAGAAGAATGACTTTCTGACAGGGAAGCTGAAAGAGCAGTCGCGCACCACTCCCTAGCTGCGCAGGTACATCATTTAAGGCACCCGGAGCAGCTGGCGGAGAGGTAAATCACCACAAGTTTAGGGCACCCCAGCCAGTGGTTCCTACCCTGAGCCGGGATCAGCTGCTAGTCACTGCTGGAGTGGAGGCAGGTGGGGATGGGACTTCCTCTTCCCCTGCAAGGAGTAACTAGGCCTGTGTCAGACCCATCCCCAGAAACCTCCCCCAGCTGCAGAAAGCTCAGCATCCTCCCCTGCTTCCTGCCCCCATTACTCCTCAGCTGCAGGGGGAGGGATCACTGTACAGGGAGCTGCTCCCCCATCTTCCCAACCCCTGTGCATCCAGACCTCCCATACCCAGACACCCCTGCCAAGCCTCACCCCGTACACCCAGAACCCCTTTAGCCCTCCATACTCTAACTCCACCCTACTGAACCTCAGCCCTGCATCTGGAGCCCCCTGCACCCAGACCACCCCGCACTGAGCTCCCTGCACTCAAAGCCCCACCCTGGCGAGCCCCACCCCCCCTGAGCCTCCACATCCAGACTCCCCTGCTGAGACACCCAGACCCATCCACTGAGCCCCAACCACTTTCTCCTGGAAGCCCCTGCAGAGTCCCATTGCACCTGCACTTGGAAACCCCCCCAATGAGCCTCTGTGCATCCAGATTCCCCCACAGCTAGACTCCCCACTGAGCTGCCTGCATCCAGATTGTCCCACAGAATCCTCTCGCTACACAGTGGCATCCCCCCACCCTGAGCCGCTCCACACTTAGATCCTGCCTGATTGAGCCTGCCTGCCCCACACCTGGTGCGCCTGGCGCAGAGGGCCAGGGCCCCAGGGTGTATTTGGGGCAGGCCCAGGCCTTGTGCTGTGTCAGTGTTGGGCACAGCCTCACCACTGAGTCCGTGTCGCCGGGGTGGGTGCTGGGAGGCTGCAAGATGATCTCCCATCTTCGTGCAGCCAGCGGCCTTTGCTCTCCACTGCCATGCTGGAGCCTCTGCATTTAATTATTAGCAAATAAAACTTGAAGAATTTTAAAATATTGTGCACAGAATGTTTTATGTTTTTGGTGCAGAATTTTTAATTGTTTGGCACAGAATGCCCTCAGCAGTATCATATCCCTAATAATGACTAGTAAATAGAAGAGTCTGAATGCTATATAAATTTGAAAATTCCATTTTATAATAGTAATACTGTTACAATACTGAGTCGACCCTGATGGGGGATTCACCCCCATGAGTTCAAGTGGCTGCCTCCCCCTGCCAAAGTGTTCTACCAGTTTCAAAGTACCGCAAAGGCTCCATTTGTAACGTGGTGGAGGATGCCTGGAAGATAAGACGAATCCAGTGCATTCTCTATGGCCCCTAGCCTAGCTCCCATGACTAGCCTTGTCTATTCTGAGGGGCCACAGCACAGCCAGGTTTGCATGCCCATATCTAAACCAAAACTTCAGAGCAGGACACCCCAAACTTTGGGGAGATTTAGAATCTGAATTCAGATCCAAGGTTTGCAACTGACCCCTATTTTCTATAAAGACTAGGCCAAAATCCCAGATCTGAGCATCTTGTGAAGTCTGGAAAGGTGGATTCAAAAAAATCTGGATCCAAATTTTGTAGCTCAATTCAATTCTAACCAATTTATTGGACTTAACTTTACAGTCTTTGGGGACTATAGTGTGGTGCATTTTTCTTTAATTTTCGTTTGTAATTAAGATGTCAACTACAATATGCTCCTTGACTGTGCTAGATGGTTGAGTATTCATCACTCGCCATTAATAAAAAGGACTGCATGAGAAGATTAATTTGAAAACTTGTATGAAGTCACAGGGCTTGATCTAAAGCCAATATGAAGGGAAACCACTCAGAATTTTGCAGGAGGCATTTAGCAACTTGCAGCATTAGCCCTATAAGGTACTACTTTTGCCAGCCTTTCCCAGTTAACGAGCTTGAATTTTCTACAGGAATGTTTTCACACTTTCTCTTTATGGAAGCAGAAAATGTGTATTAGGAACAGGGCCATTCTGATTGATATCAATTTAATACTTTGCCTGCCATGTCAGTATAATCCATTGTGTCTCACATTACTTTGTAATCAATGGGTAACAAAACTTCTTCACAAACTTTCATAACAACCTTTTGGGAAAATATTAGTTACTACATAAATGCATCCTCAGTAAATAAAAACCCCTAATCTTTTCATGCTTTTTTTGTTACCACAAATACACCCTAAACCTGCCTAAGTGATTTGTTGCCACACGTTCATATGGTATTTGACAATTCTTTTAGACCCAGCTATTACATAACAATCCTCCACAATAACCTAGTTAAGACATCGGCTGTTCTCTTCATTAGGACAGACCTAATTTTAGGTCACTGACTATTACGTGGTCAAGTATTTCATTTCATTCTAATCCCAACTAAAGGAAAAATCTAATAGTGAATTATGATTTTTCAAAGCAGACAGTTTTCCTTTCATCAGGTAGATTAGTCAAGAGTTTCCAAATTCCAGTTAACCTCCACAGAGAAAAAAGTCACAGCACTAGATCATCCTGTCCTAAATTGATAACTTCTTTAATAAAGGAGATAAAAAAACCTTACTCTTAAGAGGTATATTTAATAGAAACACCTTTGCTTTCTCACAGAAGTCACTTTTCTATTCTGATCACATGTTCTACAAAGGTTTGATTTATAAATAGTTTACAGAAGGTTAATGAATGATTAGATGTGTTAATACATGCTTAATTGTCAGACTGTTTTAGAGTCCACCAGGGTGCTTATAACTATCAAATACCTTCTACTGATGCATTTATAAAGCCACCTATGACACACATTACTCCAGTATGTACTATACTTAAAAGTATTTATAAATGGAATCTTAATGTAAAATGACCTCTACTTCTGATGTCGCTACCTCAAACAAGGCAGAGTTGTCTTTCTGGGTTACTAGGGCACATTTCTCATCAGTCAGCAGCACATACTTCCCTTACAAAAAGAAGGGAAGAAACCTCCACCACACTCAATGAAGACTTCCTCAAGCACGAGAGTACTAAAGGCCTTTCCTCGTAGGGAGGAGGTTGGCACTGAGACAATGAGAACACGAGACTTCTGCAGCAGAGTACTGGTTTCCTTCTCCCTGCCCCAGGAACTGGATCTCAGCATTAAGGAACGCTCTCTGCCTGTGCTGGTTTTCTTATAATACCAGACTAAACAAAATTTGTGATTTTTTTTGTCAGTTCTACAAAACTAGATCTAAGGTTACAACATACAAATGTTCATGAGAATCCCAAAAGGAGACTGGCATCTAAGCCACAATGTCAAAGGACACCTCAAAAAGATATTTTTTAAATGGGGTTGCACTTCTTTATTTTATTTTTGTTTGTTTAGCGTATTTTTTAAAGTTTGTTTTGTTTTGTACCACAGAAATATGAATGATATCACGTTTGCTCTTTCTTGCCTTTTCTGGAGAACTTCACTGTCCTCCCCATCCCTTCCCTTGAGTAGGTCATGTGTATTGCGTGCAATCACACTTTAAATGGAAGGGGCACGATGCTGAATCTTCAGTAAAGATGACCTGTTAGACATTGGAGCTAAAGTGATGCCAAAAACAAATTTTAGGAACATACTAAATATCCCTTTCCCCTCGGAGTTGCATTTGTGATATTATTTCACGAGTCCTCCAGCCACTAGAGAGAAATCTAGCCTGGACATGACCTGAACTAATGTAAAAATACCACCTCTCTCCCCACTAAGGGAGAAAAGAGCAAGTCAAAACCCAAACCAAGTTACATGCACTTCTTATATCACATAAAACAGTAAAAAAGGTGCAAACCCATTTTTAAAAATTTTTCTGCAGGTTACTTTAAGATGTTCAAGTCACATTGCATTTAAAGAAGAAATAAAATCACTAGGCTAACATGCTTATCCATTTTTGGATGCACTCAAATGCATTCTCCACACCTATTCATAATTTTGAAAATGAAGCCCAACTCTTATAAAACTAGATAGCTGACACCTGGCATTATCCACATTGCTATAAGCTGCTCCCGCTCTATGGCCATAGTATGGTGACTGGTAGCATGTTGCTGGTTTGGTGGCCACAAAAGTATGGCTGGTATTGTATTCCAGCTAGGGAATGTTAATCGTTTATTCCCTCCTTTGTCTCATTCTCTTCCATGTGAATACAGTCAAATATACTGTTTGCCCTTTTAGAAAAACATACAATGAATTACAGCAGTACTCTGGGTTGATGTCAGCTATTTTCCTTACAATAACCCCATTTATATTTCCAGTTCATCCCATACTCTTTGGGAGAGGCTGTTTTCCCATTGCACATTTCGAACTGTGTTGTTTCACTACGCTTAACAACAAACAAACAAATCATGACGCAGTTTGGGCATGTTAGGGTAGAATACCCTGCATCCAGCAACTTCATTATACAGAATATGCAAGTGTTATTTAGAACACTATCCTTGCAAAACAGAGCAGTAGTTATACAACCTCCATTCAGACATACACCGGAAAAGGTGACTAAAAGAAAATTCAGAGCAAGGCTACAGCTTTCTCTAGCTACTTTTATAATAGCAGATGTCCCCTATACTGCAACTGGCCATCCACCTCCAATTGCTGTCACTGCAGGGTTGGCCTCTTCTAGACCAAGCACTAACAGCACTGACCAACGTGTATTTTGCCCTGTGTAGTTATAAAAGGGACCCTGTGGTGGAAGGCAGCAATGAAGCTGTTAAACCTCCACTTTGTGCCATGTAGGCGGAGTCTCTGGAAACGTAGTTATTTTGACAGAGATATTTCTTTTAGTGTGTGGCTTTTCCTCCCCTGGGATAGTACATTATTAATGTAAATTAAAATGCAAAGAATTAGAAAGCCCCGCTTTCCATTCTCCCTCCCACCCAACCTAATGAAATTCCTAGTCAAATATTTGTTCAATCATCATCATCAGAGGAGGAAAATGTATTAGCCCTCCTGTAGTTGATGAGTAACTGATATTGATCAAGGTGTCGTCTGACTGACTGCAGTTTTCTCGAAAAGATTGATGCCATGATGTTAATAGGAGCCAAGGTTGATATAAGGAACTGAAAACGTTTAGTTGTATAAACCGTAAGGAAAGCAGATAATTGATTAAATGCTGTTCAACCTCAAATGAAAATTGCTTACAAATTCCACAGGCACATGTGGGCGTTTGTTTAAACGATGGTCATCTGCCTCCAATGCAACATTGTCAGAATCCATGAAAATGGATAGTATGTGTTTTTGCTCTAGTTCACATGTACCATATAGAAATAGGATTATGCTCTGACATTGCTCTGGAATGTCCGTGAGCCACAGTCTCCTCTAACTTACAGGGCTGTAAACAGTGGTGAGCTGGAACCGGTTGTTCAATTTTGAAGCCGGTTTAGAACCAGTTGTTAAAGAGGTGGGGAAGCTCAGGTGGGATGGACAGGATGTGGCCCGCGGGATCGTCCTGTCCATCCTGCCGGAGCTTTCAGCTGTGGAGGCTCCCATGTGAATTTTTACTGACCCAGCAGCACTTCGGCGGCGGGTCCTTCACTCGCTTCAGGTCTTTGGGGGCATTTCGGCGGCAGGTCCTTCAGTGCTGCCGAAGACCCGGAGGGACTGAAGGACGTGCCATTGAAGACCCAGAGCGAGTGAAGGAACCGGTTCTTGAACTTCTGGCAGCTCATCACTGGGTGTAAATCTGTATTAGCTACATGGCAATTAAATAAACTACACCACTGTCAAACTGGTGCAAGTGAAGGGAGAATCAGCTTGTCTGCTCCTTCACTTCCTTGAAGCAATGGCATTTGTTACAGCTGAACAGATGCTACGGTTTTTAGTGACACAAATGCTCATAAGTATTAGTTAATAATATTTAATGCACCATATGTTAAAGAAGATTTGTTAAGTTTGTATTTTTGTAATACTTGAATGTATCCATCACATTCAGAGAGGGCTGATCTTCCCAGCTCAGCAACCTCTCCCCTCCCTATCTCCAAAACACTGGGGACACTAGCTCCATTTCTCTCATCCCTTCAATAAAATGAGCATTGGCTGATTTCCTTGAATGGAGGTTGTCCAGAGTCAGCAGTAGAACGAGCATCGATCAGTAAAAACCGGTGTGACACAACCTATTACCATCCACCGTACACCATATCTGTCACTTTTACTGAAATCTAGTGAAATGATTAGGGACCAGTGACTGAATTCATCCCTATTGGAATACTACCAAAGTCAATGGAGTTACCACAGAGATTAAATTTTGCCCCGTACTATTTCAAAGGTAATTCGTTACAGCTATCAGTTAACCCTAGAACTGTCAGGTTTCAAAGTATTGCTCTTGGGTGCCTGTAAGACTAAATAATTTAGAAAGGTTCTATGAGGAACACGCCACAGCTGGGAGAGGATACAGATTCTCTGAGGTCCAATACATTGTAAAGGCAGCAATACTTTTAAAGCATAGAAATGCTCCAGGCCCAAAACATAAATCTATATAATCAAATAAATTCTTTAAAACCTTTAGTTTATACCTTTGATGTTGCTCCTGCAGCTTATCTACAATTTTCACTCTATCCAGTAAATTCTGAATCTCAGCCTTCTGCCGATTAATAATTTCTTTGTACTTTGATAATTCATCTTCTGTTCTCAACCGTTCATCCTCCAGACACTTTACCTAAGTGCAAAAGAACATAATCTTAATTGTAAATTGGTTATTTTCCTGCCAAACTTCAGAGGATAGTATGTTTCATCCAATAGGTCTAAAGCTCTAACCACAGTTACGGTAGTACTCCCTCCCTGTTTTTGAGCAATGTATAAAATCAGATGCAAACTATTTCACAGATCAAAAGCTAAAACAGAGAACAGTTCAGTCACATAAAAAACAAAACAACTATAAGAATTAGCTTCTAAAAATAGTCAAGTCATACAAGCTTTAAGAGGGATAATACCATCCCCCTCCAAAAGATTCATAAACCCACACGTATGGGTGGACCAAAGCCAAGCTGCAGTTTCATCTTCCTACAGTTACCACAACCAACCCTCATCATGCTCACCCATGCTTCTGTCTAAGAACTGAATGCTTCTGCCTACAGAGCTAGTCCATGCTGCTCTTGAGCTGGCCAACAGATTGATAGATGGGCTGCTCATCAGTGATGTGTGGCACTTCTTCACGAGCTCTCAGAGGCCTAGTATGCAGCCTCTAGTACACTCTGAAAATGCAGCTGTACTCTGATCTCTTGCATGGCAATATACTGTGCTGTCAGAACCCCTCTGGGCCACCTCCACTAGGAAAAAATCTATGTGCAATGATCAGAATATTGCAGTTAGAGGTACATACAGAAACAGCCCCACACGGACATGGATAGTACTCTGAAAACATGTGCTCAACACGCAGTTGCTGTCAAAAAAGCCAACACAATGTTATTATCTATCCCTTTCCTGATGGTTCCTAAGAGAAAAAATTATATTGCCGACTGTATAAATCCATGGCAGGCCCACACCTTGCATACTATGTGCAGTTCTGGTCACCCCATCTCAAAAATGATATATTAGAATTGGAAAAGGTCCAGAGAAAGGCAACAAAAATTATTAAGGGTCTGGAACAGCTTCCATGTGAGGAGAGATTAAAATGACTGGGACTGTTCAGCTTGGAAAAGACAATTAAGAAGGGACATGACAGAGGTCTATAAAATCGTGACTGGTGTGGAGAAAGTGAATAAGGAAGTGTTATTTACTCCTTCACATAACACAAGAACCAAGGGTCACCCAATTAATTAACAGGCGGCAGGTTTAAAACAAACTAAAGGAAGTATTTCTTCACACAATGCACAGACAACCTGTGGAACTCATTGTCAGAGAATGTTGTCAAGGCCAAAAGTATAACGGGATACAAAGAAGAATTAGATAAATTCAAAGAAGATACCATCTTGGCTAATAGGTCCACCAATGGCTCAGGGATACCACGCCAAGCTCTGAGTGTCCCTAGCCTCTGATTGCCAGAATCTGGGAATGGGAGACAAGGGATGGATCATTTGATGGTTGACTGCTGTGTTCATTCTCTCTGAAGCACCTGGCACTGGCAACTGTCAGAAGACAGGATACTAAGCTAGATGGATCACTGGTCTGACCCAGTATGGCCATTCTTATGTTCTATCCTCCTGAAATGTGGTACTCAGGCCTTTTAAAAACAGGTTTCAGAGTAACAGCAGTGTTAGTCTGTATTCGCAAAAAGGAGTACTTGTGGCACCTTAGAGACTAACCAATTTATTTGAGCTTGAGCTTTCGTGAGCTACAGCTTATGCTCAGATAAATTGGTTAGTCTCTACGGTGCCACAAGTACTCCTTTTCTTTTAAAAACAGCCTCTAGTCTAACCTGGGCAGCAAGGCATGCTGGGAAAGAAGGCTATTCTATAAACCCTTGTCTTCCTGATAGTAGGGGGAAACTTTGAGAAGAACTGTGGCTGTTCATGGGTCTCTCCAGGACAAAAACTTATGAAGTGACTAATACTACCCAAGAAGAAACCCTGGACATAGAGTTCATTTATTTTTGGGCTTGGGCTTTGTTTGGAGGAGTTGTTTTTTCCCCACTGGGTGAAATGAGCGAGCTTGGGCATTTGAGCCGTGTTTGTGGCAAGCACAGGGCAAGTACTTGCTTCCTTTCCAGGGCCCCAGTTGGGGAGGGAGGAAGCCTCCTCCATGTCATCTGTTCCCCACGAAATCTAGATGGGGAAATTTGTTAGGTTTTCCCAGGTGAGACAGCCTGTGATCATGTAGCCTCTGGCCAGATCTTCAGCTATTTCAGATATTTGGAACCTTTTATGTTTTTGAAACAGACTATGGTCGATGGAACATAATCAGGAGGAAATTTGCTTAATGAACTCTTGTGGCCAGGTGGCTACTTGTTGATCTGGGATTCAGGATACCCCAGAAAGGATGGACTTTTATGTCCCCCCAGAGAGCTATGCCTTCTAAAGTAATGAGACAGCTCCAGAAGGGGAAACTGAGATAGTAACCACATCCAGCAGCAGAAAGGTAAGAACTTGCTCCACTCCCTTTCTGGCAGGGGATCCCGGGGAGCCAGCTGCTGCTCCGCCCGCCAGGGGAGGGATGGGGGAGCTCCTGGGCCAACCTCTGCTCTGGCCACCCTAGGACCGCTGCTGGGAGCCACCAAGCTGCAGCAGCTCCCGCCGCCCCCAAGACTGCTGCTCCGGTGGTCCCCGAGGCCAGCTGCCTGAGGCTGCCAGAGTAGTGGCCGGTGCGGCTGGCCCCGGGGCTTCTGGTGTGACTGGCTGTGGGCTGCCCGAGCAGCTGGCTGCAGAGCTGCTCCAACAGCAGCTGGTGTGGCTGTTCCCAGGGCCGCCTGAGCATCTGGTCCCAGGGCCAGCTGCTTGGGTGACCCTGTGGTCAGCCACACTGGCCACTGCAGAAGTCTTGGAGGTCGCAGGAAGTCATGGAATCTGTGACTTCCACAACCTCCATGACAGATGCTTAGGAGTAATGCAGCCATCCTGAATTCATGCTGACAAATCTCTATACCAGATCACGATTATTCTTGCTCTTTATGTAAACTAGCCAGATACAATAGGATCTGTTTTCAAAATCCTTATGTTCCACCTTCAGTCTCATGGCAAGAGAGAACTCTTTAGTTACCTTTGTTCTTAGTGTACGCAGCTCGTCCATACCCTCTTTAAATGTTCTCTTCAGGTCCTCCAGTTCTTTTATTTTGGCATAGTGTACCTTTTTAAAGGGAGAAAGCATCAGAACACTGTCATTTTAGGAGGCACAGGATCCCCTCATCCACTGTAAGACTACACCCACCAATAGAGAACTTATTTGCTGCCTGCCTAACTGCCTGGGTTTAATAAATATCAGCCCAGAGTCCTGCGCAAGATATAGTATGTGATCATGTAACTAATGACTACATCATAATACATGTGCTTAACTTTGCAACCTTAATGTGCTCTTAACGTAATTTTTTGGGGATGTAATTTCTTAGGGTTTTTTCAAAAGGCAAACTAAAAAAACCCCAGATGTTTCATCATGTTGAATCACATTGAACTCCAAGATGGATCATCAAATAGCACAGGGATATCTTCATCCACAAACAGACCTCTACCACTTGAGCTAACAGTAAATGGTAGCAGCTGAAAGTAGTTAGGCTTGGTCAACCTGCCACTAGAGGGGGATGAGACATTTTGCCAGAGGGCTCCATAGCTATTTGTTAGACAGAAAAGGAATGTTAAGACTCAGGCCTTGTCTACAATACTGTGGTAAGTCAACCTAAGTTATGCTACTCCAGCTACGTGAATAACATAGCTACAGTTGACATAGCTTAGGTCGACCTACTGCGGTATCTACACCATGCTGCATCGACATGCTACATATCTACACCATGCTGCATCGATTTACCTTAATCTTCTCGTTCCAGTGCAGTACTGGAGTCGACCAGAGAGCTCTCTGCAGTCGATTTAACGGGTCTTAACTAGTCCTGCTATATCAACCCCCCGCTGCATCGATCGCAGCAGCGTCAATCCCCAGTAAGTGTAGACAAGGCCCGTGGAATCCTAGGTTTAATGCCAGGTTCTGAAAGGGAGTGTACTCTAGTATTAACAGATCCTAGTCATACTGCCTATAACAACAACAGTTTACCTCCAGCTGCTCAGTCTTTTCCTGCATTTGTTTTTCTAGTTCGCCCTTTGTTACTCGGAGCTTTGCATCCAATTCATTTGATTTAATTTCTTCTGACTCCTAGTTGATTTGGAAGAAATTAAAAAAAAAGGGGAGCATTTTAATTATAGAGCTTTTTTAAAAGAAAAACTCTACCTATTTTATGAACACAGAAGACACACATTCTTATCACTATCTGTAATTTGTACCACCATATATAGTAGTTTTGAACACATTGCACTCAAATGAAACTGGACTCAAGATCTCACTTTTTCCCTAATTTTTTTTATTTATCTCTAATCATTGACATTTATACATTTAATGGCATAACATCTCACGTGGCATGCATGCATGCAATAATTTTTCACTTTATTACAATTTAAGATGAAAATAAGAAACAAAAAAATCAGATGTTAAACATGTTAATTTCACCTCATGAGAAAGTATGCCTACTTGGTATGTTTTTATCATTTCTTGGCAGTTTTTCCGTATTTGGTCTCCCTCCTCTTTTGCTTGAGTTAACTTTGTGGTTGCATCTTTGAGTTTATCTTTGGTTTCCTAGAAAATAAACCATGAATAACTATTTGAACCTACAGAGTGTCACAGAGCAAGACTTTGAATTAGCAGGGAAAAGGGAGTTATCAGCAAAATGTTTTCAATTCTAATAGAGTTTCCGACTAATGATTTTATTGAGAATCATAATATTTGCTTAGAAAGTGCTGCACCACCAACTGTTAAATCATCTGTTTATGGCTCTCCAGAATGGCAACACCACAACTCAAAAACTTCAAGGGAAAATTTGCTTTTACCACTGTGTTCCTGTAGCCATATTTCCATGAGCCACATTGAAGGCTCCCTTTGGTAACACTGAAAAAACAAGTGGCCTGTAGTGGCTGACTCATTATCTCCACACAAAAAATCATGTAACTGAAAACTTTACTGTTCAATCACAGCAATGTGTTTCGTCCTATCACAGTTGTAAGCTCTTAAGAGCGAGGATCTAGTGGTCATCTCTCTGTCCTTGTGGTAATTCAGCTCTCTCTGTTTTTGCAATATACATATTTAAAGAGAACCAAGTGCAAGGAACCATGTCCAGTTGCTTTCCTCTTTTCCAATCAGACTAGAGTGACCAGATGTCCCGATTTTATAGGGACAGCCCAATATTCGGGGCTTTTTCTTAAATGGGCACCTATTACCCCCCCACACTCTGTCCCAATTTTTCATACTTGCTGCCTGGTCACCCTAAATCAGACTGTTACTGTTTGTGATTTAGACTGTGCACACAGTCTGAACTGACTTGTTCAGGAGAAGCGAGAGAAGAAATTCTTAGCGAGGATTGTAGGATGTGTCATTCACACTGTGTTACGACAGACTGAATTAAAAGCACTCTTGCAAATCAGAGTAAAGCAGAAATCACCCTGGATATATTCCAGTGTTTCTCAATCTTTTGTGCTGGCGAACCCCCTCGGATTTAAAAATAAATAAAATTAAATTAAAAAAGTGACCTCACTATTAAGACTTGAAAAAATTGTAACCCCTTACCTTAAATATAATGAAGTAAATAATTAATACTCAGGGCCAGCATGAGGGAATGGCAAGCAGGGCAACTGCCCAGGGCCCCACACCACAGGGAGCCCTGCAAAGCTAAGTTAGATGCTTCAGCCCTGGGTGGTGGGCTTAAGCCGAAGCCCGAGCCCCGCTGCCTGGGACTGAAGCATGTAACTTAGCTTTGCGGGGCCCCCTGCGGCATGAGGCCCCACGCAATTGCCTTGCTTGCCCCCCCCGAACACTGGCCCTGCACTTACACCCTAAATCCATCCCAGGTTGAGAAACACTGATATATTCTATCCATCCTTTCACATTTTCCACTTCCATATCACTATCTTTAAAGTACTATTCCAAAATCCATCAAGTTAAAAAGTAAACAATGATTTTTTAATCATTTTAGTGCTACTAAGCAAGAAAATGGCATAGCAACTATATTGGACTCATTATGATCTTACTTCATGGTATTGCTTTACTAACCTTGTGTGAATCCATTTCAGTTTTCAATTTGTTTTGGGCCCATTTTACTTTGATGATATGAGAATTGATTTCTTCTTTCAATTTTTCTATTTCTCTGTTGAATCTAGTGGCTTCACCTTCCTAAAAAAAAGGAACAAACAAAAACATCCACAGATTACATTTTATTGATTTTAAATCCCAATTTTTATACAGCTATAGAATTAGCCTCATACATGAGTGACAAATAGATTTCATCTACAAGGCCCCAAACCTGCAAAAAGCTGCATACTGTTAGCCACGCTAAAGGTTTACAGGACTGGGTCTTAAAGCCTTAACTGTCTAGGTCTATGGGCCCTCAGTGAGACACTGCCTCTCTGTCCATGTGTGTTGTTGCCACATTTGTGATCAGAGGAGAGATTCTATCTGAAGCAACCTTGATTAATTCTGAGACAGTTTCTAGCAGACTGTTTTCCAGAAGGACTTTTTTGTCTGGAATTGCATAGATCCATGACAGATTAGACATACTGATCTTCTGGACAAGTGGCAAAGCCCCTTTTTCTTTTTGCAGGCTTAAGGGAAAGATGCAGGTTTGGGGGTGGGGGTCAAATTGTAGGAGGATATAGCAGAAAATGTGAGGTTTACTGACTTCTGTGGGTACTCTGACAGAAGCATTGTGTACATTGGATATTTGACTAAATGGACAATTATTGGAAAGAAGTGTAAATTGTTCAAATAATGAGAGGACAACTGCCTAGATAGGTGCCAGATATAATAGGTCAGGTATCGTTAGGCTGCACCTAAATATAGTTGTTTACATCAGTGCAAAGTGGGTGTAAAACACTATCAAATCACACTGCTATTGTTTGACACATTTTGCACTGATGTAAATGACTACACAAGGTGAAGGGCAACAGTGATTGTTGGCCAAAAAAATGTACACCACACAAACCACCACTCTATTTTTCTTCAAGTGAACATCGAATGGTATTAATCAGCAAAGCATATTACTGAGATAACCTTAGATACCAACAGCTACAAACTAATATTTGCAATTAAAAAACCCGTGCATTATAATACAATCCCAGCAGCCAAATAATATTTCTGAAATAACAGATCTAAACTAAAACAGGTTTACAAAAGCACCATGTGAGGGCAGCAGAATCACTCTAATATAAGTCTCCAAGCAATGTTGTCCTGACTGTTAAGCTAGAAGTTAGACCTACCAGCTACGTTTTGTTTTGCTGACCTGAACAGGTCACATTGTCCATTCCAATTTGCTTAATTCTTAGGAGCAGGAATGGCAATGACATACATAAAAACTATGCTCCAGGAACCAAAGTTCTCAAGTTTCAATAAGATGGTTCTTTTGATCTTCTTCCTCTTGTGAGTAATGATCACTTGGAGCAATGATCGTGATCAAATCCATCAGAGTAGTCTGAACCCTCTCCGTTTTGGGGAGAATACTGGATCTTTCATGAGCATAAAATCAGGTTGTTTGTTTTTTTTCCCATTAGTTTAAACAATTATTACATTTCAAAATTTTTAGACCGCTGGTAGTTTAAATGTTTGTCTCTTGCCTTGACACTGCACTTGTAATGAGCATTTGCTGAACCTTAGTACTTAAGGAACATATCTGCACAGATGCCTCAAAATTCAGTCAGTCAAACAATCCTGTGGAAGAGTACAAGGGAAAGGGCCTGATACAGTTCTTGCAACATGTGTAGAGCTCTTACTGACTTCCAAAAAGGAGTGCAGGCTTTGATGGCTCAGCCTATTTTAAAAATCCAGTATGGACAGCCACAAGGGAAGAAAAAAAAGTATATAACAAAATTCTACAGTGTTTGTAAATCTTCACTATTTGTAAAAGAAGTGACGATCTACAATATAATGGCTGCAAAAAGAAAATTGTGCTGTTAGCATGCTACAAACTTCAGTTCAGAAGAACACATAGGAATCTCAGGAAGATGACAATAAAATCTCATTCCCCCCCACTCCCAGAAATAATATATTGACATAAAATGGGTCTTTCGCAGCCACACAGTAAAAGGGAACGTAATAAGATATCACAATTATTAAATGAAAGGTGACACAAGTGTTTTCCTGATTATTTAAATAGTGCTTTTAACCGTTTCTTTAAAAGTACCTTGGTTTCATAGAGCTGGTGCAATCTTCCTTTTTCCTGAGAAAGTTGTTTGATTTTATTCACGTGCTTTTCAATTTCTTTATTTGCATCTCTTAGTCTTCTCTCCAGTAACTCCTTTTCCTTTCGGAGATCTAGAGACTCTTTTTCTCCTCGAACATACTTCATCACCATAGTTTCCTTTTCTTGGCGTGCCTCTTCACATTTCTTGTTTGCCTTTAAAAATTTAAATTCAGCCATAAGTTTACATTTCACCGATGATAGTTTTTATACATGAACAATGGATACTCACAGTACTCCAACACAGTAATTAAAACATAACTGAAGGCAAGTCTTAAAGTCCCCAATTCTGCAAGCAAGGTACGCACTGGCTTAACATTACTACCATGAGCAGTCCTGCTGATTTAAATGGGACTACTCAGAGTTGTAACTGATGTGTTTAAGTATTTGCAAGCTAAAAGCTAAATATTTTACTTCAGCTGCATAATCAGCAGGCCGGTGCAGTTGGAATGTATTTGATGACTCCAAAATGGAGAATATACACTTGATAACTCCTAAGTGGAAAAATATTTTTGCAGATATCCAGTTCCATTCCCCAGTTATTGTCCCTCCACTAAATAATTTAACAATTACTATTCAGCTGTACATCATTTCTCACATAGAGACTTTGTGGTCCAGATATTGCTAATATTGTTTCATTAAGGAAAACAAAAATTATGTTCTAAAATTCTTGTAACACAGAGAAAGCATCTGACTTGGCTAAATCTTAAGGAAGAAAACAGATGACCTTCCAGCAACATAAAATGAGGTGAAAATATTATTTCTTTGTATCATTTTAATTGTGCTTGAAAAGATCAGATTTCACTGGTAAGCCTGCATAATTGTGGACTTCTCCCTCCATTCAAAACCAATGTAAATGTTGATCAAATTAAAATTTACAGGGAAACAATCATTCCAGGGTAACAATCATTCCAGGGTTTATTATTTTACATATTAATACACAAATGAAAGAGCGTGGCCAGACAAAGCATATGTGAGTTTTAGTGGCTCTACAAAAGGTTACAAATACTTGGAAGCTCACTAACCATCAAAATGCATGAATAATTGAATCCTATTAATTAAAAAAAAAAGTTTGGAAGCCTTGGTGTATCAATTTTCAACATATCTACTGACTGCAATGCTCAGGCTGCTGAATGTTTCCTACAGCAAGCTAATTCTTTAATGAGAGATTTAATTATTAAAACTTCAAAGGAATTCAAAATTACCTGGTCCATACGAAATGCCATCTCTTTATGCAATTGCTGAATAGTATTTTTGACTGCAGCATCTTGTGTTACAAGTTTGTCTTTAGCAGTTTTAACTTCTTTTTTAAGCTCTTCTATTCTTGATTCTAACTGTAAAGCAAACATTAGCAGATAATTATAGAAGTCAGTAAAGATTCTATCAAGTTTTGTACAATTGTTTCTTACAAATTAGATGTTATAGCATTTTTAAAATATGTACTGCACTTGCCAAACTCTAATCAAACTGCAACATTCACTAGTAACAGCCCAGCTTTTGTATTACAGTACTAAAGATGAAAGGAACTGAGATCATCATCTGTCAAGGGCTGATTGCATCACACTAAGCATAACCTCTGGACTAAAATAAATTACTATGTGAAAAGGTAAAGAGAAATGGGTCAAATTTTGAGGTTCTTATAAACCAGGGGTGGCCAAACCGTGGCTCGTGAACCACATGCGGCTCTTTTACAGCTGAAGTACGGTGCGCGGAACCCGTCCCCACAACTTCACCCCCTGCCCAGTCTCCACCTACCAGACTGCAGGGGGGAGCTCGGGACCTCTTCCTTGCAGAGGGGTGGTAGGGTAGGGGCTTCTGTCCAACAGGAGGGGGGGGTCTTGGGGCTTCAGCCCCACAGGGTGTGTCTATTGGGGCTCAGGGCTTCAGCAGGAGTGGGGCTAAAGACCCGCGTTCTGGCAGGTGTGCCCCCTGAAGATTCTGAAGATTGTCATATGTGGCTCAGAGGATGAGTAAGTTTGGCCACCCCTGTTATAAATGCTTTCTTTGCTTAGGTAATGTTTCACTGAGCAAGGACAGAATAAAAACTGAGAGCTCGGCATTACGTCCTACATTTTTATGCAGTTGCCTATAAAGATATACATGTCCAAAAGGCAAGAATAAGACAAGACAGTTTTGTCACCACATCAAGGATTTGATCCTGCCCTCTAAAGCTGTGAGCATGAAAAACAAACACAAACAAACTTAATACACTTGTGTAAGCATGCACATACGGTAGCAGGTTTTGCTTGCAGTTGTGAACACATTTTAGAGCCGTATGATTTTACTCTGCTGAACGTCAGACAAGCTAAGGAAATACTTATCTAAGGACTTCGTGTATACAAATTCATTGAGCAACAACTACAAAAAACCATCCCTAAATCTGTTATTGCAACCCATGAATCTAGTTGCTGCCAAGTTCCATTTCAAGATGCAATATCAAAGAGCTACTTGAATAACTTCTTTAAAGTAATCTCTTCTGTAATCATCCCAAAGTGTGCAATATTAAAAGTGTTAAAGGTCTGACTTAACTGACAAATGGAATTAAACAGTAGTAACAGAAAGGCCCACTTATCATTAGCACTTTCCATCACAGCCCATATGGTATGAAATGTCACATAGCAAATCCAAGATACTCATGCAATCACTGAGTGATATTGGGGAATATGAGCAAGGGACAGTGAGTGAGCTGCATTTATTGGTTTATACAGACGTTTGTTTCCATTCAACTTGTAATGTTTTTTAAATGTCAATTCCAACCATGCTATGTACTTTCAAAAAAGCTTTGAGATACACAGAAAGCAGACAAAGCTTCTGTACCCTCAATGCGTTCAAGTACTGTATAAATCTTTGACGCAGCACTTGAGAATGTCTCCTGCCAATCTGTGTGGCACAGAAATTAATAATCAGATCTATGGCATGACTAAAACATTAACATTGATTTTAAAATATAAAAATTAGTTGGGACACTATTTCACCACAGAACAAGTTCAATGTCAAGTTATAAACACAGGCCTGAACAACCCTTACAGCAGTAGCACTAGCAAAATAATCCTATAAACGTGTAATAACATTCAAAAGGATGCCACGCTAGTGATATTTTGTGCCAGTAAACACCAAGTGTACGTTTCTTTGGTTTGTGACAATTCTCAATAACTATTATATTGAAAATGCCTGGGTCATATACAGTAACTTGAAGTACCACACATTATTTGTTCTTATAATTATCTATATGGAACATATATACCTAAATAGCATTCTTTTGAAGAGTGTGTCTATTCTAGAGTATATTTATATATCAGAGATTTTTTCCCTTTTTCTAATTAGTCTCTCAACTTTAGGGGTTTCTTTTCATTTTCACTAACAAAAAGGAAAGAGGACAGATTACGGTTTACATCTCTTCTGACTCTCTGTAAGCTATTTGTGGAGACATCTGTAGAAAATTCCCCTTTTGTCTATGTACACACAATAACTGGTCCCAAAAGGGAGTGCAACTCTTTAATATATGTTAAGATTCTTCTAACATCACCAATTGCAACAATGCCTTAAGTCAGTGGTCCAACTGTGGGTCCCGACCCTGTTTTAATGGTGTTGCCAGGGCTGTCTTAGACTTGCTTAGGTCCAGGACCAAAGCCTGAGGGCTTCAGCCCTGGGTATAACGATTCAGGTGACAGGCCCCCTGCCTGGAGCTGAAGTCACTGGGCTTCAGCTCTGGCCCCCACACCGGGGGCTTGGGCTGGCTCAGGCTTTGGTACCCCCTCCTGGAGTCATGTAGTAATTTTTATTGTCCGAAGAGGGTCATAATGCAATGAAGTTTGAGAACCCCTGCCTTAAGTGGTCAACAGCTGCAGCATTCCCAGATTCAATTGTAACTTTAGCCTTCAATCTTGGGTTTATATACAGTTATCTGTAGCTGGCAATTTGTATATAGTACAGTATTTAAACTAACAAATATATAACCTTTAAAGGTGGCCTCACACATGACACATCCGCTACAGAAAATTGGCAGGCCCAAATGGCAATATAATTTTCAGATAAATGCAGTATACAGTTTCAGAGTAACAGCCGTGTTAGTCTGTATTCGCAAAAAGAAAAGGAGTACTTCTGGCACCTTAGAGACTAACCCATTTATTTGAGCATAAGTTTTCGTGAGCTACAGCTCACTGCATCGGATGCATCCTGTGGAAAACTGTGGAAAATACTGTGGTTTTCCACAGTGTGCATCCGATGCAGTGAGCTGTAGCTCACGAAAGCTCATGCTCAAATAAATGGGTTAGTCTCTACGGTGCCACAAGTCCTCCTTTTCTTTTTGCAGTACACAGTGCATGCCAAGGTTGCGTTTTGCAATTTGAGTAGGACTCCCTGTTGCTGACGTTTAGTCATCCAGCCATCTTCAAATGGGAACGGACGGCATTTACAGGATTGGGCCCAAGGAGCCCAGCACCCAGAGACGCTGCGCATGCGGAACTCCCGTTGACTTCATTAGACTTCTACAGGCTGAACATTTCAGTGGTTCGAAGCCAAAGATAGCAGTAAACGCTTTCAACAAACTAATAAGGCTTTGTGGGATGGAAGAATGAGTCAAGAAATGCCTAGGCTACATTAGCACTGGGAGTTTGTTCCCTCCCTCGCTCACACACACAATGCCGGCTAGAAACTCCAACTAACATCAATGACAGTTAAACGTACATGCCAATGAAAGGTTAGACAGCGTAGTCAGCTCTTTTGTTATTTGTACCTGTTTAATAATGTTGAGGTGCTGCTTTTCTGTTTCTGTTCGTTTTTTCAATTCATCTTTTAACTTGTCCTTTTCTGAACAAATATCCAAAATCAGTTCCTGATGCTTTTTGTTTTCTTTAATCAATCTGTAAAGATGAAATAAAATTGCTTTGCTTTGTTGTCTGTGTGGAAGACAAGGAAAAGTGATCCAAACAATTGGGCACTGGTACTTTTCAACCCAAAACAGCTTTGTTGCACACCCCTATATGCAAGGCTTTTACAAAACGGCAGACAGAGCCTTAGCTACACTGCAGCAATTGACGTGACACTAACAATGTGGCTGGTACTAATGTAAGTGATTACTTGCATGGTCTCCATCACCATGACACTAGAGTACTTCCAACACGTAAGTGTAAAGTCACAACAATTTGTAAACATACAGATATTATCTTCATTTTACGGTTGTGCAGAGTGATGTGACTTGCCCAAGGTCACACAGGAAGCCTGCAACACAGCAAGAAATTGCACCCAGTCAGGTCCCTTAACCACAAGATCATCTTCTCTCCCCCACCTGTAGGTAGTTCAAATGTTTTAAAATAGTTTGTTCCTTTACAGTAGTGGTTCTCAAAGAGGTGTACATGTACCCCTGGGGGTATGCAAGAGGTCTTCCAGGGGGCACATCAACTCATCTAAATATGTGCCTAGTTTTACAACGGATAACATAAAAAGCACTAGCAAAGTCAGTACAAACTAAAATTTCATACAGACAATGACTTGTTTATACTGCTCTATAGACTATACTCTGAAATGTAAGTACAATATTTATATTCAAATTCATTTATTTTCTAAGTCTATGGTAAAAATGAGAAAGTAAGCAATGTTTCAATAATACTGTGCTCTGACACTTGTATTTTTAGGTCTGATTTTGTAAGCAAGTAGTTCAAGTGAGGTGTAACGTGGGGGTACACAAGACAAATCAGACTCCTGAAAGGGGTACAGTAGTCTGGAAAGATTGAGAGCCTCTGCTTTACAGTATAACAGTTTGAAGGCTGAATCAAAGCTGTAGCCTAAATGATAGCATATTTGTGCTGGTGATTATGGCTACATACTGCAGCATTCCAGAAGTGATACAGAAGACAGTTATACCTAAAACTCAGGGGTAAAGTTTTCAAAAGTGCCTTAGGGCCCAATTTACAAAGTACTTAGGAGTCTAAAGATGCAGACAGGCACCAAGGGGGATTTTCAGAAACACCTAAACAGGTTAGCTAACTTCAAGGCACTTAGGGGAGTGGAGGGAGTTGCAGGGCTCACTGTTTTGGAAAGGGTATAAAAGGCAGAAGAAGTAGCAGTACTGGTTTGTCTGCATCTCTTTAAGACAGTGATCAGTACAAGACTGATCGGCTACAATCAAGTATTTACAAATGAGGGGCACAGTAAACAAACAGGTAAAACCCAGCTAACTGGTTTGTACACAATACCATGGAATTACTACCATCTAGACACCCACTGCCTTCAACTCCCACTCCCCAAAACACTCCCAAATTCTTTGTAACTGCTTTATGCATAATGTACACATGCCAGACTCACAAAGTCACCGTTTTTTTACACTTAGTATGTTTTCTGATAGCAAGATTACCAAAATCATAGCAGATCTCTCCAGAATCCCATGCTTTGAATGGGAAGTTCTCTCTGGAAGACTTTTTTTTTAATGTGGTCATCCATTACTGTGGTATCACAGTTCCTCCCACAAGAAGTTAACACAAAAAATACAGAGATATATAAATAAAAGCCACTTTCACTTCCAGCCCTGTCAGCAGAAAAAAGAGTTTGAAGTGGAAGGTTAGGTTTTTCCAGTGACCAAATGCCCCTCATGTTATACAGAGAAAGCAATATGAAAGATAAAACGAGAACCAAGAACTCAAGCAGTGAGCTGAAAGAGTGTTTGAACAATCTTCGTTCAGTAAAACTGAGTTAACAATTCAAGTACAAAAATTTCTTGTAGCAAACTTTGTATATATACAGTAAATTATGAATTTCAAAAGCTTTCCTGTAACTTATTACTGTGTTACCAGATGTTATTTCAATGTTATTTGATGCTTGAAGATGTATGCATAAAAATAAAATCCCTTAATTGCTTCATACTTTTATGAGAACTGAATTAAAGATTTTCTTTTCAAGCCTTCTTTTTAAAATCCAAACTTGGCCATCTCAAAAACTGGCAGAGGAAACTTTAATTTAACAATCATAACTGGTTTAACAATTGGGACAGCTGATGAAATTCTTCTGGCGGAGATATAAGCATGAAACTGAATAAAAATTAGAGTGGATTAATTTATCATATTTGACAAAGGATTCATGTCACCAGTACTTTGATGGAGTTAACAAGGAATTCTAACTAATGTAGGCTAACTCACCAAGGATTTCAGATTAAGGATTAGCAAATGTCTGTTCAGTTCATGCCACATTCAACAAGAAGTTAGAGGTCTATGTATACTCATTGTATATATTTGTAAATTAAATTTAGAATGATTATAGAGTTTGTAAAATAAATAAAATAAATAAAAAACCTCATTTACACAACATCTTTAAAAAGAGCTAATATAAGCCAAAATCATGACAGGGTTAACAGCAACAACTAAGACCACATATGTTGCACAACATGGAAGTTGTAACTCCACAATATACAAGTAAGGATACTCTTGCACATACTTATTTGTCCTGAGGTTAATCTAGATACTCACTTCTTTATCGTTTGCTCCTGTTGGACGTATTTATCTTGCACACATTTTTCAAAAGTCGCTAAGGCATGTTCACCCTTCCTCATTCCATTTGGGAGCTTACGCTCTTTCGTAAAATCTGTAGCTAACAGTTCAGATTCTATTTCTTCTAGCAAAGCCTCCTGTGATGATGATTGTTGTATTGTGGAAATAAGTTTCTTGGTGCAGTCTGTGTCATAAGGGCTTTCAGAATAGATTCTATTGCTAGATTTTTTCGTAAAGTCACACCCCTCCCTTAGCTCCTGCAGGATTTCCATTAGGGATTGTTCTGTGCCATTACTTTTTGAAACCTGTTGTTCAAAATCTTCACCAGGCAAGTGTTCTGCATTCACAGAGTCTTCTACTTGCCTTTCAGAACATGTATTAGCACAGGAATCCCCACCTCCACTACGATCAGGTGAAAGCTGCAGCTCCTTTGCTTCACTTATGGCTCCATCCCCTCTTACATCAATAGTTGTTACATTGTAGTTTGATGCCAACAATTTAGGTTCCCTTTCCAAGCTGGAATCCTCATCACCAGTATAACCAACATCTGAGCAGTCCTTCACTTCAGAAATCTTGCTTGTGCTCTCATTACTTGATGAGCCGGAAGGTGTATTGTCTTCCTTTGATAGATTGACTGGCTTCAGTATGCTCTGTATTTCCGGTAAACACTCTTCCATCCTTCCGTTTTAGGAATCTAGAAAGAGAATTTGGACAATATATTACATTCAAGAAGTCAAGATTAAAACGGGGGAGAGGAAAAAATACTTGGTTAGAAGTTCAGATACTGGAGGAAGGAGAATAATTTTGTTTACATTGCCAATGGTTAGCCAATGTTTTTGTCTGCTAAACATTTGAACATTCACTGTTCCAACAATTATAAATCTCTTATTTAAAAAAAGAAGTTCAGGGGACGGGGGGAGGATACCAGACACTGAAATTTAACCTAATTTTTATGTAGTAGAGGGTTTTTTTTCTCCCTTTCAGTAACTCTTGCAGTCTGAAGGGAGGAAACTGTAGAGGTGGCAAATGTTTTGTTAATTCTACTGTGTTTTTAAAAAACAAAAACCAAGCACTTCCTGCTACTTTCAGATAAAAATAGCAGAAACAATGCGTTCAAAGAATAAAATACTGTAAAGGTTTCATTTTAAGTTTGCCAATGAAGATGATTCAAAGACTCACAACAATGATGCCTTAGAGTACAAGGTCTCTTGCTATAGAGTGGAAACCACCAGTCATTCATAACAATCCTTCAGGGGGTCCACAGGTTTTTCCTCCTCCACAGTCAGTGAGCGCACATACGTACACTAGTTTCTCATCACCAAGTACTGACTGATAGGTTCTTTGCTTGTTGTGACCCTTGAGTATGTATGGAGGTCTCTAGACCCAGAAAACTGGAGTGGTTCCTTTCACCTTCTTCCCCACATGGAGCTACAACTGATCAATGCCCAGCTACTGGATTTTCAGTCAGTCAGTCTCCAAGGAATCCCCTTAGGCTACACATGGGTAGCTTCTCTTCAGCCCTTGCCATGCTGGCCAGCACCTTGAGCAGTAGCTTGTATGGCTTCAGCTATCACTAAACAAAGGGACATCTAATTGGTTTCTCTTCTAGCTTGAATTAAGGGTGCTTAATATACCCATCAACTTTAACAGGTCTGTGATCCACAGCCACCATTAATGCTTTCCACTATAATATGTAAATGCAGCTGGAAATAATGAGGAGCCACCTGCCCAGCTGTCTCTACTAGGAGGAGACAGGAACACTACCCAGGGATGGAAGCCAGTAGCTGCACGGGAGCTGCCAGCCACCAACAAAAGGAAAACGTACAGGGGAGTGGAAAGAGAGGCAGACAGAGACAATATCAGAGGAGGAGCACACCAGGAGAGCATCAGATGCCTGGACAACATAGATAGGGAAGCCTGTGGAGAATAGCAAGTTACAGGAACAGAACACATAGGAGAAAAGATATACTGAAGACAACAACAATCAGCTTTTTTCAAAAAGGACAACTCACTTCTCAGACCCTTTAAAAGAGACGCAAAACACTTTCCTCTTGTCACTTTCAACACAAGATGCAATGCTCTGGAGCTGCTGAAGATTAAATCATGGGAAGCAGGCAGGGATATAGTCTGTGCAGTCACGACTGAATGGAGGTGGCGTACAAGCCACTATTACCATGTAGTCTGCACTATGAAAGAGTGAACTATGCCTGCTGCATCTCCTTTGCTTTCACACAGCACTGGGGCTGATTCCTGTTGTATTCTTCCACCAGGATCCCCTATGCAATCTCTTCATAGATGTTCACATTTCTGCAACTGGGCTGCAGCTGTGTCTGCACAGTCTTGTCTCCCCAGAGACCCAGGGGACCCAATACTTCTGTCTACTCCAGGCAACTGCACATCTAGAGCATGTAACTGGCATGGACAGTTGCTCACAACAAGGGAGAGCTGCTAGGTGCGCTCACTTAGGTGGGCAATCAGGAAAAAGTATTTAAAAAATAAACAACGTGTGGGGGAAGTGACTTCTGACCTCCATGACCCTGGGCACTGGTGTTCACAACTGTAGCCAGAGCGGTCACCGTCAGGCACTGTGGGACAACTGCTGGAGGACTGTTATGGTCGACATTGGTCACACAGTGTCTACGCTCACATTACATTGACCTCAGTAGGTTGACCATGCCTCAACACTGTTTGGGGAGGTGATGTTACTGCATCACTGTAGCAAGGCGTTTATATCAGCAAAAGACAAATTTGAGCATAGACATATGCACAAATAGGTTGACATAAGTCGCCTTGCGTGAATCTAACTTGGTAGATTAGACCAGGCCTAAAAAAGGAAGTCATACCAAAATAACAGTCTACATAAGGAGTTTTACTGCCCTACCTTGACCCAGGTCTCAGAGTCACAGACTTTCAGGCCAGAAAGGACCATCACGATCATCTAGTCTGACTTCCTTAACATCATATGCCACAGAACCTCACCCACCCACCCCTGCAATAGGCCCACAACCTCTGGCTCAGTTACTTTAGTCCTCAAATGTTGACTTAAAGACCTCAAGTTTCAGAGTATCCGGCACTTATTCTAGTTCAAACTAGCAAGTGACCTGTGAGAAAGCCCAAGATGAATGTGGAATCAATAGACCCCAATAGGATGTGATAACTAATTTTTTCCATTTCAACTGCTAACATTTAAATAGAAACAAATGTCAACATTTTTCATCATTTCACTGCTGAGCTTCATATCAGAAACTTTCATCCAATATGTTTACATAAGCATGGATGACCCTCCCAGCTCTATTTTGCTATTTATGTAAAATAGCCTTTGCAAATGAATAGAACAAGACAACAAATTTGAACATGCATACGGCAGAATACACCAGATATTCTTTCAATTATTCAAGCAATTGCTTGCTACAGATCTTATAAATTAAGGTAAGAGATAGTCACCATTTTATCAACTAAAGTGTGTTGGTAATGATGCAGTTTGTAAAATTTCAATAAAACTTAGCCTAGCAGTAGCAATTTTGTTAAATCAAATCTGACATTTTGGCTAATATCTATGATGCTTTCTACTGTGCCCTAACGTAGGTTGTCAGATGTCAGCGTGGTTATGGAAAAACAGAACACTGACAAGCTTATGACAAGATAAAATATTTTATCGACAGCGATGGAGGTGGCATTTATTTGTATACGGTGTAAGAAAGTGGCGTGGTTAATCTCTAGTTGGCGTCAGCACACAACATGATTAAGTCTATTAGTAACCATGGCAGCTAACCATGTTTTGACTTTGCCAGATACCTAGATCCTGTAACTAGTCCATGACACTTGGGTGCTCTGGCAGAACCCTCCAAGCATGCCTGTACCACTAGTTTGACCAGTTCTCCTTCCTCCCAGTTCTCTACAGCATAGGGCATTCCAAAGTGCATTCTCTCAACATTTCGCTTTCCATGCATAACTTCCCAGCACTTTTGCCTCTGTGCCGCAGCCCATACAGGATTAAGCAGCATGGATGGTGGGGATACACAAATGTGGTTTCAAATGAGCTGCACGGGGGGGGTCCGGGGGAAGGGGGGGCCATTGCATGGACACAGTTCAATCAGACTTGATGTAAACAGACCAAATGAGAGTTTCAGACACAAATTACCAAAAAAAAAAAAAAAAAAAAAAAAAAAAAAATAGGTGGTACGTGGAGTGCAGACAAGTCTAAGCCTTCCACTTCAAAACCATAGCCCTGCTATAAGGTAATAGTCACCAGTTCGGCACAGGACAAGAGAGAGAATGAATAAGATTTGCATAGGAGTAAAACACCCCTCTCTCCATCATACTGACAGACAATAGCATAGCCATAAGTACTAACTCTGTATTCCGAAATCCAAGCAGTCAAAAACCATGAGTCAGGCCTTCAAAATCATGATTTCATCATTTTTAAGTTTACATTTTGCTTTCTGGTTTTTGAGTTTTTAGGGTTCACATTCCAAGCTTTTCTCTCTAAGTATGAGGACTAGAAACTGGCTTATTTTGTATAAATGAAAGCAGAGAGTCTCATCACCACATGATTCCAGGAGCTTGAGCTTTAAGGGAAAAAAAAACACCACTGAGAGGGTTGGTAACACTACTAACTCAGTGTTGCAAACTACTACTTTGGTGGGAATGCTACAACATATTTTGCATGCACCAGAGATGACTTGCAAATATTTTTCCTCTGTTACTTGACGGTATTTCCAAAACTTTAAAATTTAATTTTGCGGGGCAGCACAATTCAGATATGTTTTAAATATTGCCTTTGTGCTTTGAGGGAGTAAAACTACAGTTGCAGCAGGTGGGAGACGTAGGTTTTTTTTGGTTTTGTTTTGTTAGTACCAGAGGATGGCACTCGCAAGAATGTAACAATTTTTGTTACTGATAGTAATCCCAGGTATCATCCTTCAAAGTAAAATGTGCCAGCAGGAGCAACGTGGTGAGGGCAGCAAGGAGGACAATGACATCTGAACAGTTTGCACATACAAAGAGTGGAAAGCAAGGGGAGGAAAAGAGGTACTAATTTGGTTTAATCTCATGGTTTAGATTTAGCAGTTTGGGGGTTTACATTGAGTCCTGTATTTCATTGACGTCTTTTCTGATAAATTGGTCCATATGCATTTCTGCTACACGAGTGTGTGCAGGACTGAATTTTTCAATATACACAGCAATATACCCACGAGACAAGAATCGTCCCTATGTTTATAAGTTCTGTGCTGCCTGCTAAAATGAGTAACACTTTTTTGGCATTCATGACACACTCTGCTGTAGGAATGTTAGGGGAAAAGCAGACCTGGAAGTGGGTGGAGGGAAGATGGGTCTAGCCAATGACAAGGTCTTAGAAAGCTGAAGGATGTGTGTTATTAATTCTGCTCTGAAGGTTGATGAAGAGGAACCTTGTTTTTCATTATTTCCTTGTAAATTGGATCATAAAAATACAGACTAATATTATGATTACCACTTATATAGCCTCTTATGATTCAGCATTTGACACAATATTCAGAGTAAACTGGTTTAAAATCTTAGGGTCACGTTTTGATCTTCAGCTGGAAAACTTTTAAAGGGACACTGTCAACTTAAATATTTTGGAAATGAATATTTAAATAATGCATTTTTTGCCTTTTGCAGAGTGTATATTTTTTTTTTTTATGTTTCCTTTAAAAAAAGTTTAAGGGTTTT